AGGGTTTAAAAAAGGGAAAAACTGCTTCCTTTGCATATGAATTCATTTTGAAATTACACATTACTCAATGGTTGAACTAAAATTAACAGAAACAAGTGAACATTGAAGAGTAGGAATCATAATGATAAGGGAAACAAAAAGTTTCCAAACTTTTGACGCGCCATTACTTGAAAAAATCTTATTTCTCAAATATGATTATAGGTTTTTGGAAATTATTCTTCCCGTCGTATTCTGAACTTGATTTTGTATGTAATATCTAAATTTGAGACAATTTCGTTATGTGTCGGCCGCGCTAGATCAAAAATAAAAAAGTTTCCAAACTTTGACCGCTATGGTCGTTGCGAGTTCGAATTTGGGACTTGCAACGGAAAATACTGCTTCCTGCGACAATTGGTCGGTCCAGCTAGTAATGAGGTGTAATTCGATGTAAGCGCCTTGCGACGCTGAACTCAAATCCGTTTTCGTATTCTGCGGGGTGATTCAAGAAGTTGAGAGAGATTCCTCCACTGTAGCTTTTCACCAGGGACTCCACATTCCATGGAGCTTTTCTTATTCGCTGTGCACCTGCGAGAAGCTCTGCGCAGTAGCTGTTTAGTTATAATCACTTTTTGAGGGGCTATTGCATGTGCTCAACAGTTGTGAGTTCTTTGCCTTCAATGAGTCTGTGGTCTGTGTGTTTTGTTGTTTTGTGTGTCGAAGTTCATTACAGTTCGCATGTCTCTTAATCGAAGTGATATATTATATATGATTATATATGATATCTCTTCTTACTATAAGTTCATTATAGTAAGAAGCTTAAAGAAAAACACGAAAAGGAAATTTTAGAGTCTGCGTCTCCATGTGTCAAGTGGGAGCAAATCAATAAAACGGACTTTCTGGGTCTGTATGTAGAGTCATGAAAATGCAAAAGTTCTGCATCTCTAGGGATCAGCACATGAGAACGCCCTCATAAGAAGCAAGTGTGCCAACCGCTACACCACCCTGGCAATCGACTTTATCCCTCTTGGGCAGGTCTTGTGCGAATCATGGAGGATTGTCGAGATGCGGAGGGCGCCACAGCGCAAGCGAGAGGTGCCGGTCCGAATTCCGCCTTGGGCGCAAATTTCGTTCATAACCCAGTATTTTTGTGCTTCCTCAACGAGTACTGAGGTATGAAAACAACATGTAGCAAACAAAACAAGTCGAAAACAATACTAGTAATCCTAACAGCAACAAGCAATCAAATGTCGGGTGTAACTCAAAACTCGGATCTAACTGAGGGAAAAGTAGTCTGAAGCAACCTTCAGCAGGCACAGTAGAAAGATGCTATTGAGCCAGTAATGCAGACCTCAAAATTGATGGCGGCTAATGCTACCACCAGGGCCGAAAGGGTCAACTTTGGCGTAAGAGCGTTCGATAATGAAAATAGGAGCACGATGTGGACCACCACTTTAGAAAAATGAAAAGAAACCGTGGAAAACACAGAAAACGGACATTTTTGTGCTGCAATGTGGTGGCAAATATAGGTTAGACTGCGAGATGAAAGGCGATAGGCGCTGAGGAGATTGAAATCCTTGAGAGTTTCTGCCGCACCGACGCCTCGTAGCGCAGTGTCTAGCCTGTGCTTCCTGTTTATTCGCAATAATTCGCTTACCCCATGCACGGCTGTCATTCAAAAAATTGAGAAAAATTGAGAAATAGAAATGTTTGCCTGTAGACCGTCCTCCCCGAAATATTACAGGGTGCGCCAAAATTACGGAGACAGCGACTTCGAGTTGCCTAGGATGAGCAAGGTGCAATTCTTTGAAAACAAAAATGCAGTGACGTGCACAGTCCCATTCTGAATCGTCGACATCCATGCAATTTTTGAAATTCCTTGGTTTGTGTTTATACGGGTCCTCAGAAACATCGAGGAACCATCGACTGTGGCACGCAATGTGGCGAGTAGGACTCGTCAAGCTCATTTTAGAGCGGTTTCTTCAACGAATCCCTAGACATAATGTGTTTTATGCAAGCCTCAGCTTCTAGAACGGATCCGACAGCGTACCCTATCGAGCTCAGATCTGAAATGCTGTTCTACCACCGTTTAAGCCGACAAAGTCGAAAAAATCGGTTCTGCATCAATGCTGCACTAGTACTGAACCACCCTTGCCTCGTAAACGGGAGCTCCTACTTGATGGAAGGCCCAGCAACGATTTTCAAAGTGAAAATAAACTCAGGATAGCAATGGGCTCTGATAAGTCCAAAAGAGCCCCCCTGATTCCTATCTCTCGTGACATCCAGTGAAACCGCAATAATACTAGTATACATAAATATAATATAATAACTACCTGCAAATTCTATCGCACACAATCCTTAGATTGTTCGTGGTCGCCACAGAAACACGCCCTTCTCATCCAGAATGACTGCATTCAGCTCCTTGTCCCCTGTACCACTTGGAGCATCTATTGATAGTGCTCGGGTATACACCAAAACGATGATAATTGTCGCGTGCCAAAAACCCTCAACGTCGAAGTCCAATGATTTAGGGACGGTGTCAGTATCAGTCAACCGCTGCAGCTACCATAGATTTTGGTGGTTGAACAAGGTAAGCATAAACAATTCTACACCACAGTACCAAAACTAGGACAGAAGAAAACAGCATCTGTGAATATCAGTTCAAATTGTTTGCTCATGCGTTGTCTCCGTAATTTTGGCGCACCCTGTAGATGTACAGGAAGAACATGTGAATTTTGAATGAGGTGTGGCCGCACCTGTGACAATTCGTTGACTCCAAAGTTTTAGCTTTTTTGAGTACATCATGTTCACGGATTAGCATAGATTTTTCATCTGTATTTTGGAATCAAGCTGTTGCTTATAGTTATGGGAGTGTCAATCTTTTCGCGACCAAGCTTATTCATATGGTCAGCTGAACGTGAGTCAGAAAACCGGAGGGTCCTTATTTCTCGATTTATGCGGATACGTGGGTCTACAAGATTCTGAGATTACTCGCTGCATTTTCATCAGAATAATAATTCGTTAAGGTGGTACAAAAGTTTTCTGTCAATGGAGCAACAAGTTCTTATGACGCTCTACGCTGGTTTCTCGGGATGGTGGATCAAGGTATGTATTGAAAATAACAGTTCGCGGAAGATAGAGTCAGTCAAATACCACGAAATGACGATTTCTCTTCTGAATTGCGAGCTGCTTTCGAAAAAAGTACAGGACGACACATGTGTTATTCTTTCTCACTTCGAAGATCAAAAACCGCATCATTTCACATACATCTATATTTATGGCTGACTATGAAGTGCTTCACTACAGCAGTAAGGCTGGCTTCATGAATCTCATTTTTTCTTACCACGCTTTCGAATTCAGCAGCCAGCTGCATCCGCCCTATTCGCGCTACGGGGTGCGCCTCTTTCTTCAAAGCCCCTTGTTTTCGTAATTCGAAATTGCTGCATGAACGCACAAGTCTGTCTCAGCTCTACTATAATGTGAACAGAATCTGTAGTATCGTTGCCTGCACTGCTACTATGATACTTGACTCACACTTTTTTCCAGATAAAGGGTCTTGATATGGGCACTCCATTTGGATGCAACCATCGTGTATACTACCACGGCACAGTCAGAAACCTTCAGGTGCTGTGCATCTACAAGATCCTCTGAAACCTGCACATCTATACCTGAGAGAGTTTTATGACTTCTTACCTTTGTCTGACAACTCATCTATAGCATGTTCTCTGAGTAAAGAAAGTGAAATAAAGATCCATTCAAGTATTTTGAAGTGTAGGGCTGAAAATCATTGCCATGCCATGTGATCACAAAAACAGACCTTGAAAAACCAGAAGGCCGCTGGTAGGCAGCCTCCTTCACGAGCTGAATTGGACGTCTCGTATATGATTTAGTTCATCCGTTCCGCAGCCGCAATTGAATCTGCGGCATGGATAGGAATCAGAAACCTCTTGAAGGGTTTGTTTTTGTCATGAAATTTTCACATTTCAATTCTCGTGGACGACTGCACCACTGCCGAGGCCAACCACGTATAGCTTGATACAGAAAGTAGTATGAGAAGAAAGAAGATGGAGTATTGATGCAGAATGTCAAGGCGAAAACACTCTTCATTCCATGAAAAGCTGAGTTGGGATGAAATGGTGCCCCGGTAGCGTAACTGGTAGCGCACTTGCCCGGAAAGCGAGAGGTGCGGGTTCTAGTCCCGCCTGGGGCGAAAGTTTTGTTCACAACCCAGCATTCTTGTGAAACATTCGCAAGGCGAACTGCGGCCAAAAACAGCAGTTAACAAACAAAAACATCTTCATTATCACTTTTTTGATTAGGAACTAAAAGCCGCAATTGCTTCTGCATTTAGTATAGGATGGTCTGTCAGCAGAGACCAGCGACTCACTATTTTCACCAACTGAATTGCTGCAGTCGCCTAATGACGCAACTTTGTACACTGCTCCATTTCTGGATTTCATCTGTACATGGCAACTCTCCCACCCTTTCGGGATTGTATAAGTCTGCAATACACTCGGAAGACAAAAGCAGCGAATTTGTCGCTGTTTGCCACTTGCATACAAAAATCAGACGCAAACAAACTTGGCAGTGAAGCTTGAAGGCAGAGGGCATTTCTGGAAATGGACTGGTCAATGCGCATCTCATTCAAGTGAGATGGATTTTGCAATATCGCCCGTCTTTCCCTATTTAGCAGGGGCGATATTGGTCCTGATGGATACCCCGGACAAGATGGCAAGCCAGGAGTTGACTTGATGATGTCGCACCACAGCGCGACACGAAAGGCTGCTTCTACTGTCCCGTCGGACCTCCAGGTCCACCCGGAGCGCTTGGACGCCCAGGACCGCGAGGGTTTGCGGGACCAAAGGGTCACGATGGAAATCCAGGACGCGATGGAATGCCGGGTAATCCCCATGGCGACACCGGACCAGCGGCCCAAATAGGAACAGATCGGTGACCGAGGACCACGCAGAGAAAAAGGACGTGATGCAGAAACCAATTAGCCGTCCCAGGAGCAAAGGGCCTCGATGGAGATCGCTGTTGCCGCTGGTCCACCTGGTCTCAACGGACTCAATGGACCTCCCGGCGAGCCCGGACCGGTGGGACCGCCTGGACCAATGGGAAGCATGGGACCGATTGGTCCTGATGGAGAACCTGGTGAGGATGGTCCAGATGGACGTCCAGGAAAAGACGCTGAGTATTGTCCTTGCCCAGATCGCGCCTCTGATTCCGCAGTTCACAATGGATACAGAGGTCTTTGATTCCAATATATTGTCGGAACACAATAAAACTTCCATGTTTACAAACTTGTCTGTATTTTTTTTCTTCAAAACAAGGAATAAAGTTAGACAAAACTATGTTGGCCACCAATGTTCTTACAAAGGTTTTTTCAAGCATAAAGCGATCGCTTCGCTAAGGCGGAGTTTACAAGGAAAAAGCAGCTCGTTAGAATTCAAGGTACAAGTACTGGGATAACGGAAAATTGTGCCGCGGCAATAGCGGCACGGGGATGCAATGCTAGGTCGCTGGTATCATGATCTTAATTACGAATTCCGTGTCGATACGCATCCAAGGTGTCTGCTTGTATTTCTACTAGATACGTTTCCTTTTTAACGACCCTCAACCTTATCATGGAATCCCCCTGGGATTATGGGGGCGCTAAATTGCATTCACGACTGAAGAACATGCTTGAACATTCTCTAGTTACTTTATTTTGTTTTTCTTCTTCCCTATTCATTTCCATCACAGTTGAATTGCATTGTGACGAATGTCAAACAGAGGCGGATCCTGAAAACCGTGGCCGATCGAGAAAACACCCGGATCGTTTTGTTGGATTCCATGCAAAAAGCAGGCGGTACTATAGGTACTAGAGGCATCTTGAGGACGTGGAGATCTGCCCACAGGTAGCAACTGGCGCAGGAAGCAAAGAATCCGGCAAGCAAACCAAACGGGCTGCTCCTTTTCGTTCCCGACTGAGAGAGGCGGACGTATGGATGAGTTTTCCGAAACGCGTTTGGCGACATCATACCAGCAGATAAACCAACATAGTTCCTCCAGTTGTGTCGTTGCTGGCAACAAAACTTGTCCATATCCCCAACTAGACTAGTGGGCGATCGTTTTAGGGTTTTTAAGTGCTTTCGATGTCCTGCTCGTAAACAGCGCGCCTTTGGTCGTGAAAGCGCCACACCACGCCTCCCTGGCAGCCAAGGTACTGCTTGGTGTGGTGCATGTACTTCCCCGGTGCTCCCCTCATGATTGTGATCGCATCTCTTGAGGGATGCCCAAACTTTTAATGAGATTTGAGGCTTTTCCATTTTCCGGGTTAGAATACGGATCAGGAAAACATTTCGAAAGGAAACGTGGTGGTAGGGCCATGCACGAGAATGTTTTACGGATAAGGTAACAGCCTACTGAGCAAAGCTATTTCTTCGTACTAAATCAACTTTTGAGAAAGCATGAATTGAATTCGACTTAGCGCTATCGCAGAGACGGGGCATTATGGTGATGATGCATCCAAAACTGCGTAGAACCTCTTCTGTTATAAGTGGCATTAATTCTAGGGAAGAGGTGTGGTAAGACCCAAAACTGCGCATATTTTCCCAAGCTCCTGCCCATCATAGGCTTAGTCTCAGGAGATGCCCCGTATATTGCGATAGCGCCTCATCCCTATTAAGTCCCTCATTCCTTTGACTTTTGTTCGAATCTTGGAGTGGAAATGTAAAGTCATACGGCGTTTCGATTTGCCTCTTCAACAGAATTTCAACCAGGAGAAGGACTACTCCCGGAGTGAAGGCATTCAGATTGATTTGTGCATATGGGATACCCCCCAGGAGGCCCGTCGCGCGGCAAGAAGGCAAAGTCAGCGGACGAGTCGCGCGCGTACTATAGGGATTTCGCGTCAAGTTAAATAGAGTGTCCCACTGCACGTCCTACATCGCACACCACGCGCTGCAACTCGTCCGCCGACTCTGCCTTCTTGCCGCGCGACGGGCCTCCTGGGGGGTATAACCGTTGTAATTCACTTGTGCCGATATCGCTTGCAGATGCGTTCGAATACCAGGTGTTGCGAAAACGACTTAATGTTCGATAAACCGTCGCCTTTTCCCTCTCTAAGGATTCCCTACCTTACCTCTAGATTGTGCCTTTGAGTGGGTGATGCTGAAACGAACTAAAGGGAAAGTGGGCTTATGCCGCTCCACATAGTCAACTCTTTTCTGATTGGCAGAGGTGTTCAAGTATTTTTTGCTCAGACAACTACTTGCCCCTATATTTATCTCATTTCGACATTTTGATATTCATCTTTGATCCGATTATTGAAGCTTCAGTTTTAAATAGGCGAAATAGTCAAATAAATACACAGAATTGGCCAGCAGTCCAAATAGACGTCAAGACTGTCGTAGGAGGTGCACCAACGACCGTCCTACGAACTGCTGCTACCCTTGTACTTCATCAAATAACAATCATATAAAATTAGGAAGCAGGCAACACCGGCCAACGTCTCAAAAAAATCTCAAATACACTGTAATAGGAGTGCATTTGGAATGTATTATACTACAACATACATTGAATGAAGCAGTAGAATAGTAAAAAATAAAAAAATACATTCGAACCAAATTGAGCCGTTGCTAGCCTGAGAAGATCTTAAAAAGAAAGGTTTGCTGAATATAGTTTTCATCCCGTACGATTTATGTAGCCTTCAAAATTGCATGGAATGCGTTTTCAAGGATTTTGCTCATGTCGTCCGTATTGATCATACAGGTATGGTAGATTTGAATGAGCGAGGAAGTCGCGACCGTTCATGACTTTCGAGTCAATTCCTCGACGAATTTCAAGGCGTCTTCCTCACCCGCTAGCCATGCAAATATACATAATACAAAGAATTTTGGGGGTATGAAGTGCGTCCGTGAAAGTCTCGCAATATCCATGTCCGAGATAATTGAAAGTTTTTCTGTGCCAAACAGGTTTTTTATAGTGAAGCGTTTATTGCCGACGTTTCGACTAGCTCGTCGTCTTCAAGGCCTGAAGGAAGCATTTCGAAGATTCTCAAATGAAACTTATCCTACTTAACGCTCACTCACTCCTAACTAGTAGCAACTCGAGCAAAAGGTGCAATCCGAGTTGAATCCAACATTGGTCACTCACCTTGGCTTCACCACCACCCTTAGCCTCTCCGCGCCAGAATATAGTAAGAAATGAGACTGACCGATCACTGCACTCCCACCATGGTGCGTACGTGCAGGTTGTCACGTTCATTTAATCAGAGCTCACATAGTGGAATGTATGGCAAGAGAAATCATCGGTTATGGAGATGCATTCATTCCTGTTATTCATATATGGATTACGAAGTTTTATCCAGAAAGCTTCGAGAGTTTTCCTAGCACCGATGTCATTTTCGTAGGCCAATATCGTACATTTGACGTCGAAATCGGAGCCATCATGACTTTCCCTTTTGTGTTTACCGAGCGGTGTAGCCAAGTTTTCTCTCCGTTTGCCGGCAAGATGTTCTTTCACACGCACGCCTAATTGCCTTCCAGTTTCTCCAATATATAAGGCACTACAAGTTAGGCACTGAAGCTGATAAACCACAGATCTCTGTGCACAGTCTCCGACTTTCCCATATGGGCAGATTACGCAATTTTCTACGACGCAGGTTCGGTCGTAGAGGCGATTTCTGACTAGCTGGTGTTTGATGTTCTCTCTTGGTGTATTAACCAAAAAGACTACATTAGTCAGATCGGCTCTCCTGATGCATTGCTGTATAACTGCACTAAAATGATCTGATATAAATGGTAACTGAAGATACAGTCTGTCTTCAGCTCTGCGTGGGAGAAGTCTTGGTCTGCTTCGTCGTTCACGTTGCCGCGCTGTGTATCCGTTAAGATTAGCTATTTGATGTGCTAGTCCTCTGGATAGTTCCCGCTCCTCATTGCCGGTGCATACCTCCATAGCAGTTTTGTACATGTTACGTAGTACCGCACGTTTAACGGCTCTGGGGTGTGCCGACATTGCGTGAATGATGATATTTTTGGAGCTCTCCTTTCTATACCATTTCACATTGTACATCCCATTAGATACTCGTATCTGAGTATTCAGATAAGGCAGCCAGCCTTCTCGTGGGACCTCCCGTGTCAGCTTGATGTACTGCGATTGACTGTTAAGTATGTTAAACAACTCATCCATTTCTGATTGAGTTGATGTAATAACACAGCAGTCATCGATGTATCGGCAGTACATGATGGGTTGATGTGCTAGCACCGGACGTTCAATTCTACTCATGAAACAAACAGCGAGAACTGGTGCTAGCCTTTTAAAATGTTTAAGACATTCTTTGATTAGATGCATTATATGATTCTTATCAAAGAATGTCTGAACTGCACCATTTTGTGGTCTGGAAGATATTTCACGCAAATCAGAGGGCTTGCAATGGGACAAAGGCTAGCACCAGTTCTCGCTGTTTGTTTCATGTTAAACATTCCTTTGATTAGAATCCTTAATAATGATTCTAATCAAAGAAGTGTCTGAACTGCAACATTTTTAAGTGGTCTGGAAGATATTTCACGCAAATCAGAGGGCTTGCAATGGGACAAAGGCTAGCACCAGTTCTCGCTGTTTGTTTCATGAGTAGAATTCATGAATAGAATTGAACGTCCGGTGCTAGCACATCAACCCATCATGTACTGCCGATACATCGATGACTGCTGTGTTATTACATCAACTCAATCAGAAATGGATGAGTTGTTTAACATACTTAACAGTCAATCGCAGTACATCAAGCTGACACGGGAGGTCCCACGAGAAGGCTGGCTGCCTTATCTGAATACTCAGATACGAGTATCTAATGGGATGTACAATGTGAAATGGTATAGAAAGGAGAGCTCCAAAAATATCATCATTCACGCAATGTCGGCACACCCCAGAGCCGTTAAACGTGCGGTACTACGTAACATGTACAAAACTGCTATGGAGGTATGCACCGGCAATGAGGAGCGGGAACTATCCAGAGGACTAGCACATCAAATAGCTAATCTTAACGGATACACAGCGCGGCAACGTGAACGACGAAGCAGACCAAGACTTCTCCCACGCAGAGCTGAAGACAGACTGTATCTTCAGTTACCATTTATATCAGATCATTTTAGTGCAGTTATACAGCAATGCATCAGGAGAGCCGATCTGACTAATGTAGTCTTTTTGGTTAATACACCAAGAGAGAACATCAAACACCAGCTAGTCAGAAATCGCCTCTACGACCGAACCTGCGTCGTAGAAAATTGCGTAATCTGCCCATATGGGAAAGTCGGAGACTGTGCACAGAGATCTGTGGTTTATCAGCTTCAGTGCCTAACTTGTAGTGCCTTATATATTGGAGAAACTGGAAGGCAATTAGGCGTGCGTGTGAAAGAACATCTTGCCGGCAAACGGAGAGAAAACTTGGCTACACCGCTCGGTAAACACAAAAGGGAAAGTCATGATGGCTCCGATTTCGACGTCAAATGTACGATATTGGCCTACGAAAATGACATCGGTGCTAGGAAAACTCTCGAAGCTTTCTGGATAAAACTTCGTAATCCATATATGAATAACAGGAATGAATGCATCTCCATAACCGATGATTTCTTGCCATACATTCCACTATGTGAGCTCTGATTAAATGAACGTGACAACCTGCACGTACGCACCATGGTGGGAGTGCAGTGATCGGTCAGTCTCATTTCCTACTATATTCTGGCGCGGAGAGGCTAAGGGTGGTGGTGAAGCCAAGGTGAGTGACCAATGTTGGATTCAACTCGGATTGCACCTTTTGCTCGAGTTGCTACTAGTTAGGAGTGAGTGAGCGTTAAGTAGGATAAGTTTCATTTGAGAATCTTCGAAATGCTTCCTTCAGGCCTTGAAGACGACGAGCTAGTCGAAACGTCGGCAATAAACGCTTCACTATAAAAAACCTGTTTGGCACAGAAAACTTTCAATTATCTGGACATGCCAAGGTTTCAAGAAAGGCGAACTTGGACATTGCCGGAAGCTTTCAGGCAAAGTTGTTTTAACAAAATAAGCAAGATTCCGAAAGATTTCTAGATACGTTAGGCACTCGTTTTTATATCAACTCTATGAAAATACGATTAGATGGCTAAACGGCGCTGCGCTCCTGATGACATCAAAGAACGTCATTGACGAAAAGGCATTGACCATAAGAGGCACTCCACCAGGGTTGAATATCGGTCAGGGAAATCCTCAACAGGAGGGAACGTATTTGTTAGGGGTCGTGCTCGTGGGGCTCGTAACATTAGTGGTGCAGATAGGAGTAGGAGGGTGTAGCGCAACAGAAGACGAGGATATGTGGAGAAAGACGATATAAAATTCTTCGCAGGTAATGTCGCCCCTTCCTTTGCCTCTACAAGAAGTACTACTTGAAAAGCAGTAGAAAGAATGAGCGCATCTCGGCGAGGACGGGGCCACATGTGCACACGCACTTTCTTCAATCTACCGCCAGCTCCCTCCCTTTTATACTTCGTTGAGAGAGATTGACACTGTTGTGAGACGTTGTCGCAAAAAGGCAATAGTTCTCTGGAAAACACTGGGCAAATGAAGCTGTTCCTCAGGTTACAGGCAGTTACGAAATGTGTTTACTACAATACAGTTTCTGTCAACAGGTCATCATCATATGACACCTTTCAATCGATTCTGCAACTTGAGTGAGTCGGATGCATGGCCTATGAAACGAGAGTCGGGCGATGACGGTTGCCCTCTTCTCATCCAATCTTGTACGTTGAAAGAACGTGTTTTCTAAACACATTTTCGAAGGGTTGCGCAAGAATTAATTGTAAAGGTGGGGAAGGAAACGACTTTTTTGAGTGGCCAAAAATCGTCTTCGATAGATACTCGACGCTTCGACCTTGCAACTTACATATGTTGCTGGCCGTGTTTGCATCGCGATAGCTTCTATGTACTTTGCCATTTCCCGCGTCCTCGTTCCGTCGGTGGGTGTCCCATTCAATACCTTTTTTTTGCTTTTTTTAGTGGCGGGCTACTTGGTACCCACAGCTTCCCTCTGAATCTTAACAACGACCCACTAACCTGTAGCGTGAACTTTGGAATAAGAACTTAGACGAACTATGACTCCTTGGCATACTCTTCTCGTTGAGTTGGCACAGTATTCAGACAGAATCATAATGAGATGAGTTTGGCACATAATCCGTGAACGAACCTTTGTAATCAGGCCAGTGATCCTGTAGTGGCATAAGCGGCAGTTTTTCTCGAAATACGTCAACTTCGTTGAGAAATAGCAAGAAGGGAGTTTGGTTTGGAATTTCGGCTCTTGTGATTTTCTCCAACGCGCAAGTGCATCTTGAAGACGATTCCTTCATATTCCTATCAATAATGTCCACGTTAATCCCGGAAGTTTGCCTTTCAGCAGCGTTTTTGCCGGCTCCTTCTTTTCTTTAGCTTCCTGGTCCCTGTCGCAGCTGACATGTCGCTGTACGCTGTACAACAGCCCACAGCTCACTGTGATCCTGGGCATGGCCCATCTGAGCATTCTGTCTGTGCACATCTTACTGGTCATGTGCTACAACTCTCTGCGGAGTGATTGAGCATTTTTAACCCCAAACACATATTACTAGTAATAAGAGGTATTCAAGCGTTGGCCAGCGGTCGAACCCCTCTGACTCTGAAATGCGATGTGTACTCGAATTTTATTCGGAATTGTAGTTCTGTGGCGAATTGGAGAACTTGGTTCATTTTCCAGACATTCGCCTTCCTACACTTTTGAAGGCTGAATTGAAGAGAGTGTTTTTTGCGAAATGTTCATTTTCCAGACATTCGCCTTCCTACACTTTTGAAGGCTGAATTGAAGAGAGATAGTTTTGCGAGATGGAAGGCTTCTGAAATAAAGGTGTCTTTCCTCAACAGGAAAATCTAATGCAATAAGTGCTTTCATGGACAGTGAATAGACTTTTTCTTCGGTAGGCCTATATCGTCGGCATTTCCCTTTGTTCTTCCTCATCGAGATCAGGAACTATTCGATTCAATGTCACTTTTCCAGTTTCTTCCGCCTGATAATCGAGTTCGTTTTCTGCGATCTCCTCCGCTCCCGCACTGTCCGTACCTGTTCACTGGGCCGAACAAAAAAGCGAAATTCGATGACCCACTTACACGCTATAAAGGTCTAATCAAGGGACTTCTTCGGTCGATTCGTCCAACTTGCCTTCCCCAGCAGACCTTGTTTTCGCTACCAAATGAAGGTACAGACGGCGACTTTTGTCGCTTCTTCTGTTTCGGCAGTCACCTTGCTGGCATGTCTTATAGCAATGTTCTCCATTTATTCTGATGTCACCAGCCTTTGGATTGAGCTCGAGGAGGAACTCGGCAGCTTCAGGGTGAGTGCAATGAGCAGAATAGCCTCAACATGAATTGAATGGGAAGCTGATTTCAATGGCTCATAATATTTCCTTTCAGCTCACAACGGATGACCTTTGGAAAGACATTATGAGCATTGGAACGAAGAGGCGAGTCCGTCGTCAGTACGAACACTCAGAGAAACCAAGCCAACACTACAGCGACGGTTCTCCTTCAGTCCCTCCTGGAAGCCCTCCATCTACACCACCAGTGTTCGCTAACACCCCAGGAGTCAACGGAATCGGACCCGATTGTAAATGCAACGCTAACAACAAATGTCCTCCAGGACCGCCAGGACCGAAAGGATTACCCGGACCTCGTGGTCCTGACGGATACCCCGGACAAGATGGCAAGCCAGGAGTTGACTCTGATGATGTCGCACCACAGCGCGACACAAAAGGCTGCTTCTACTGCCCCGTCGGACCTCCAGGTCCACCCGGAGCGCTTGGACGCCCAGGACCGCGAGGACTTGCGGGACCAAAGGGTCACGATGGAAATCCGGGACGCGATGGAATGCCGGGTAATCCAGGAGAACAAGGACCAGCTGGACCAATTGGAAAGATCGGTGAGCCAGGACCACCAGGAGAAAAAGGACGTGATGCAGAACATCCAATTGGCCGTCCTGGAGCTAAGGGTCCACGCGGAGATCCGGGTCTTCCTGGTCCACCTGGTCTCAACGGACTCAATGGACCTCCCGGCGAGCCCGGACCGGTGGGACCGCCTGGACCAATGGGAAGCATGGGACCGATTGGTCCTGATGGAGAACCTGGTGAGGATGGTCCAGATGGACGTCCAGGAAAAGACGCTGAGTATTGTCCTTGCCCAGATCGCGCCTCTGATTCCGCAGTATTGTTTGTATTATTTTCAACCACAAGGAAGTGAGCTCTGTGCACAAAATCACAAGACTACTTTGCCAATAGGTTTTTATAAAGGTTTTTTCAAAACCACCATAATGAATCGCTTCGTGAAGGCCGGAGTTTTATGAAACTGCCGTTAGATTTTAGATTAGAGTGCTAGTAACGCAAAAATGTGCCGCCGCGAATACGGCATGTGATCCAATGCTTCATAATTGCTGGTAGCATGGTGTTTTCTTTACGAATCGCGTGTCCAAAAGACACCCTAGGGGTCTGCCTATCTTCCCACTAGGTAGGTTTCCTCTTTTCGACCCTCAACCTTGTCGTGGAATCCCCCTATAATGGGGTTGTGGTAGCGCTAAATTGCATTCACGCTTGAAAGACACGCTTGAACATTCTCTAGTTACTTTATTTTGTTTTTCTTTTTCCCTATTCATTGCCATCACAGTTGAATTCGAATGGTGATCAAATGTCAAACAGAGACTGAAAAATGTGCCGATCGGGAGAAAATACCCAGAATTCGGTTTTGGATCCTTCGAAACCAGCGAGTACTGTAGGTTCTAGAGGGTCTTGAGGTAACAGTGGGGGAGGCTCCAAACTGATTCACCAAGTGGTGATGGAACACGTCGAAACTCGGCACCGAGAAGACGCAACACAGACCTCTTTCATGAGCGCTGTCATCGTTCGCTCACGGACGAGCTAAGCAGCTGAGACAAGCGGATGTCTAAGACGAGTTGATGCAACGCATTTGTACATCGCCATGCCCATATGAGCAGCAATTGTCAGTTGTGCCGTTGCTGGGAACACCCTTGTTCAAGATCCCAAGAATTAATACTATGGGTGGAACAGTTTGTTGGGAAAAGAGCGTTTTTTTTAACTGAACTGTCTACAGCAACTTCCACTTGCACCATTCGTCATAAACTACCCACGCCTCCTTGGCAGCTACTGCTTCATGTGGTGCATGCAAATTCCCGATGCTCCCCTCATTATCGTAATCGGATCCTTTGAAGGACAACCACTGATGATACCTCTATGAGCCGTGAATGATGTTTATGCGGCATGCAGGCGCAAGGAATATATGCAGGACCTGATTCAGGTTGGAACCATGGTTAACAGCAGTTCGTATAACTTCCCGAAATTTCTGTTGAAGGCCTCCATTTTCCCGATTTACATACGGAATCAGGAAAGCACTGATGTAACTTGGTGCTTCTAGTCCGTGCACGATAGTGTTCCACAGAACGTTACAGTCTCTGTAGCGAAGCTCCTTTTTTGTGCTAAACCAACTTTTACCAAAGCATGAATTCAACTTCGCTATTCGCAGATAGGGGCATTGTGAGTGATGCATCCAAAAACTGCGTAGAAGACCTCTCCTCATAAAAGCGGCTCATTGCGGAAGAAGGTGGGTAATGACGCTAACAAACTGCGTAAACAACTTTTATTTTCCCCAGAGCTCCTGACCCTCATAGGCTTAGCCTTAAGAGATGCCCCTTGTCTTGCGGTAGCTCCTCAACCCTAATTAGCTCCTCATTCCTTCGATTTTGTTCGAATCTTGGAGCGGAAAAGCAAAGTCTTACAGCCATGTTCCGATTTGCCTCTTCGACAGATTGAACCAGGAGAAGAACTACTCCTGGCGTGAAGCCATTCAGTAATGAAACCAAGTTCGCCGGCTTCACATCGAGTTTAATCTCTTTGGGCATATCGCTTGCAGATGCCTTACGATGGCGTCGCGAGGACGACGCTAGACGCTTGCCCTAAACGTCGCCTTTCTCCTCTGTCCCCCACCTGTTATTATTAGGTCGTGAAGAAAGTTCTTGCGCTTTTCGGTGTTTCGTTTTTGAACGCTTTATTTTGTTACGAATTCAAGCAAGCTGCCAATGAGCTGTATGTGGTTTTGAAGAGCTTTTCTTGTTCTATCTAACAGCTAGGCTAGCTATGTTTCTTATCATTTAGTTGTCATTTTTTGAAGCCTTGAATACGGCATACTCCAAGAGCAAATTTGCATGATTTCCTTTTTCTAGCTCAAAGCAGGCCAGTATGGAGAGGAAGCAGGTCAAGATATTATAGACGCACTTGGCTGAGATTCGCAATAAATATGGTCTGAAGCAATTGTTCAAAAAGCTTTTGTAAGAATAGCGAGAGCCCTAAAGATTGTGAGGGTGGTGATCGGAGATTGGACAACGCCAACGATTAGTCGAACGTTCTGGTTGAAGCACGTTTGCACAAATCTATTGAGAGGGTTCCTCCTAAACTAATCGCACTTGCATTGTGTTTTCTTGTTGTACGGGAAGAGCTGGAAAGTCCCAAAAATTCAAATAGGGCGTGCCGCGACAGCTCACCATTTTGAAGGGTCGTTCGCCGCGTTCTATTAGGTCGCAACGAAAGTCCTGGCGCATTTCTTCAAAGTCCTGACAAACGGCTGCGCATTAACCTGGAGGGGAAAATTTTTAACCATATACAGGAGTGGTGATATTCCTTCATATTCTCGAGTCTCACCTCCTGCACGCTTTTGGAGCCTGGAAAATGCCATACGTTTCTACCCATGTCCCCCACTGACTTCTTTGCGAATTTTGTCTGGGCCCCACAGCGAGCGAAGCCTGCCGCAAAATATGCTCTGTAGAACTAGAGGGAGTGGTAAGTGAAAAAACTGCCAAACTTTGGTTCAGAAGGTTCCGCGAAGGAAACTACAACCTCGAAGATGGACGCCCAACGAAAGTTAATTTCGAACGTTTGGAGCTGTTACTTCAAGACTTTCCGCATGCAAGCGCCATGGAGCTGGCAAAGGAGATGCACTGCTTCAACATGGCCACAGGTCGTGTTCATCACATGCTGGAAAAAGTTAGAAACTTGGTCGATTGATCCCTCATGAGCTGACAGAGCATTGCAAGAAAAGAGGTATCGGGGTGTGCAGAGGTTTTCTTGCAAGAAGTGCCGTTTCGACTGGCTGGATAATGTAATTACTGGAGATGAAAGGTGGGAGCTCTACGTCCGTCATGCCAGAGAAAGACAGTGGATGGGTGCGAATCAGAAGCCAGAGCCTGTTCCAAAGCAGGAGGTTCATCCCAAGAAAGTTCCTCTGTCAGTTTGGTGGAGAGTTCGGGGAACACGTCATTACGAGATGCCAGACAATACCATCGTCGACGCCGAGGTGTACTGCTCACAACCACGAAGGCTCGCGGCTGAATTCGCGAAACGTCGCCCGAAGCTGGACGAAGTCCCTCTTCTTCATGACAACGCGCGACCCCATGCTGGAAGGGTAACCCAGGACACATTGGCGGAACTTGGATCTGCGGTTTTACCCCATCCTCCATATTCGCCAGGTCTTGCGCCTACGGATTACCACCCGCTCCTTTTCCTGGCTCACTTCGCAAAGGGTAAAAAGTACGACAACTGTCAACAGTTGAAAGCGGACATGGGCACTTCTTCGACTCGAAACCTGCCGAATTTTGAAGGTGGGGCACTTGTTCCCTTGTAGACCGATGGCGGCCTGTTGTAGGTACTTGTGGGAATTATTATTCGGAATAAAGTTCAATTCAAAGAAAAATATGAGCTTTTGAAATCGAGGGTCGAATCCGCCATTACTTTCGTTGCGACCTAATACTTTGTTCATTAGGTGAAAACGAAGCTGACTTTTTGATCATGTGACATATACAAAGAAACGGATCTAAGCTACATTGCGAACCTTGTGAAATGATCGATCCGCTGAATCCAGGCTCTCCTAAACTCGGCAAACGTAAACCACTCGAAGAAGGCTTGACGTAACTTCATAGTGAGGTCAGCGCGGGTCCTGCTTTCTTTCGGAACCAGGTGGATCTATAATCCTGGGAAAGGCGCTCCTGATAATGTGTCAAACTACTCCTCAGCTCGATAAAAGTAACCGGCTCGTCTCTGACAGGTAGCTCGGACGCACATTCCACAACCAACCCTGCAGAAGTTGGACAAGATTGGCTACGAATTAGTCCTGCGAACATCCTACTCGGTAGACCTTTTGCCTATAATTTGTCACTTTCTCGACTACCTGGATAGCTTCTCCAAAGAGTTATGCTTCAAAAACCAACATGATGCGGAAACGACCTCCGCCGGGTTCATCGTCTCTAGAGCTCCAGTATTCTGCACTACCGGGCTGATTCAACGCAGCTATTATTGGCAGAGGTTTGTGGATTCTAACAGTCTTTACTCCAATCAAAAAGGTTCCGAATGAGCCGAGATACAGGCATTTGAAAATCAAGGTCGAAAAGCGCAAGAACTTTCTTCACGACCTAATACATGTTCTTCTCTGTGATGTGTGCTGAGACGAGTAAAGGAAAAGTGGATTAATGGTGCGCCACTGAGTCAAATCCTTCCTGGTTGGCAGAAGTGTTCAGTATTTTTTTACGTATACATTGCTTGTCCAGATATTTATCTCATTTCGACATTCTGATGTTTACTTTAATCCGATATTTATCTCAATTTTTATATAGGCGAATGTAATAAAATGAAATGGCACAGAAGTTGCCACAGTCCCAAATAGACGTCAAGAACTGTCACAGAGAAAGTGCAACACGACACCTCCTACGACTGCTCTACCCTTGCACTTCCATCGAATGAAAATCAAATAAATTAAGAAAGAGCAAAAATCGCTGCAGCCTTCAAAAACATTCGCAAAGTACATGCTAAAGAGTACATTTGATTGTACTATAAGAAATATCGAACAAAACAGTAGAATTAAAAATAAATAAAAAATACATCCGAACCAAATTGAGCCGTTGCTAGCCTGAGAAGATCTTTAAAAAGAAAAGTTTGCTTAATATAGCTTTCATCCCGTACGATTTATGTAGCCTTCAAAATTGCGTGGAATGCATTTTCAAGGATTTTGCTCATATCGTCCCATTAATCAATACAGTAACTGGTAGATTTGAATGACGGGAATCGCGACCTGTTATTGACTTTCATCAATTCTTCGACGAAACTTTCCAAAGGCGCTTTCCTCACCGTAACCTTGCAAACTAATATTAAATTAAAGGATTTTGATGCGCATTCTGACAGCTGCTGGATACTCGCATTCACCCCGCCTATGAGAAGTTGCTTAACAAAACATCAAACAATAAAGATCAGTAGCTAATTTAGCACTCGTTTATACCATACATGAAGGCAGCGATTGCAATGGCCGGCGCTGAGCCTCTGATGACATCAGTGAACGTCATTGATGAAGAGGTACAATCATAAGAGGCATTCTCAAAAAGGGTGACTGTCTGTCGAGGAAATCCTCTACAAGAGGGGGTCGTGATTGTAGGGTGGTTCATGAGGATCGACTCGTGGGGCCGTAACAAAACGGTGCATAATATTAAGGAGGTGTGCAGCGCAGGCGGAACAAAGATAATGTGAAGACCATGTATCAAGTTGGAAAGAAAATTCTGCGCACACTCTTTCTAAAAAATTTTCTTTTTTTCTGAAAAATTCAATAGGTAACATTTATGACTAACAAATGGTAGAGCATTCTCAAGGCTTCAATCCACGAGGTGGATATAAGTGCTGCAGTCAGTAGTTATCCAAGAAAATTCAAAAAATCTCGACCACTAGTAAATCCGTACTCCGAGTCACTGTCTAGTACAAATGTCTCCATAACTGGATTCGTGTCAAAGACCAACACTATCTGCAATCGCTCTTCAATAGGCATGTCGTGCACCGCTACAGCGTGTTTGAGCTTTATCAGCGCTTTCGATCTTTTGATATTTTTCATAGCAACACGCACACCTCCACCACTCATTACAGATTAGAGCTCTGCCGCATCCACTACAATTCTCTATCGTTAATGGGCCCATTGTGTAGGTGAGCCTATCGCGCGAACTCCAAAGCTGGGAAGCTCGTCAGGAGCCCTCGTACCGCGACAATATTTATTTCTTTCATGACATTGCGAATCACCATGATCCGAAATGGGCCCGGTAAGAAATTCTGGACCTGCGGCAAGATTTCTTACCTCTCTTAGCGTATTCCCCTGGTCGAGCTATAATGACTGCACCCATCCGCTTTGAATCAGCATCTGTGACGAAAATAATTAGGCGCGATCGAACTTCACCCCGGAAGTGAGATCGCCCCCTTCCCGACCCACACTCGCGATGGGTTGGCAAAGGACATACAAGAAATTTTCGACGGCGTTGAAACTATAGCGAAGCACTCAAGTAAACACAAGACGAGCAGATGAACGAAATGAAAAATTAAAAACAAAAATCTTGAAGAAGTCGCAGAACTTTCTGCCAACGCTAATAAAAATTCTTGCAGGGTCGATGGCCCTTTTCCTATTGCCTAGAAGAACACTCTTGAAAGCACTAGAAAGAATGAGTGCATCTTGGCAGAACGGGTCCACAATGTCACTCGCGCTGCAAAGGCACTCTTCTATCTAACCGCCAAATACTCCCTCTTTAACTTTGAGAGAGATTGAACACTGTTATGATGAATGCTGTCGAAAAAGGCAATAGTTCGAAAACCCTGCGGCAAATGAATGCTGTTGCCTCAGTTACAGGAGTTATGCCCGTACGTCATAGTCGCGCGATTTACAAGGACCTGGAGTCGATCCCGTCGTCGCCTACTAATGACGTCTTTTACGAAAATGTGTTTACTGAATACAGTTCTGTTAAAAGGTCATCCATCATCTGACCCTTTCAATGCGATGGAAACTTCGAGTGGGGATCGGATGCATGGTCTATGAAACGAAGTCAGACGATGACGGTTGCCTCTTTTCTCATCGCTTACGTTGAAAGAATGTTTTCTAAACACTTTCGAGGGTTGCCAACGAATTATGTAATGGTGGGGAAGGAAACGACTTTTTGAGTGGCCAAAAATCGTCTTCGATAGATACTCGACGCTTTGACCTTGCAACTTACATATGTTGCTTTGCATCGCCGGTAGCTTCTATGTACTTTGCCATTTCCCGCGTCCTCGTCTTCCGTCGGTGTGCCCCATTCCAATACCTTTTTTTTGCTTTTTTTAGTGGCGGGCTACTTGGTACCCACAGCTTCCACTGTGAATCTCAACAACGACCCACTAACCTGCAACTGTGACTTGTGCCCTTGGGCATACCCTTCTCGTTGAGTTGCACAGCATTCAGACAGAATCATAATGAGATGAGTTTGCACATAACAGTGAACGAACCTTTGTAATCAGGCCAGTGATCCTGAAGTGGCATAAGCGGCAGTTTTTCTCGAAATACGTCAACTTCGTTGAGAAATAGCAAGAAGGGAGTTTTTTGGAATTTCGGCTCCTTGTTGATTTTCTCCAACAGCGCCAGTGCATCTTGAAGGCGATTCTAAAATAAGGCGAACGCACCGTCTTGAAGGAAATCTGTCACTTGCAAGACTAGTTCAACCTAACCCGAAAAGCATTTAGGAAACTGAGGTGACTCGAAGCGTTGTTGTAAAAAAGTGAGTCTTGAAAACTTCTTCGTGATAGCCGGAGTTGAGCAAAATTTTACTGCCTGCTTGGCTTCCCTTCAGCATGCCGTCCAAGTCCTCTCGGCAGGCCGAAACAGCTTGGTTAAATGTGTGTCCCATGATCAAATTCGTGTGATTTTTGCACACGAATATGAATGTAATGGTGCGAAATACGTCAGCAGTAAAAAATGTGTAGAAAAATGCTTAAAGGCAAACCCCGGATTAAACTGGTGCGACCTGAAAGTGGGAAGGAAAGCAAGAGAAATCTTTGGAACGCTGAAATTAAGGCCTTAACCTTCAATAAGGTCGGATGTGGTACGATGGCGAGAAAGAAGACAAAATACGCGAGAGAGCACGTCGTTTGAGAGAGCACGCTGATCTCTACATCAATGCACGCTGATCTCACCACCTCTCGCGGTGGGTGGGAAGCGTTGAACGGGGTCGATGGTTGCAGGCCCGTAAGGATTAGCGCCCTAACCGCGCAATTTTTGCGACGAAGTTGGAGTGATCTAGGTAGGTACGGACCTTACAATTTCCCTCGCGGTATCCTTCCTACTAGTCGGGCTAATCCCGGGGTTTGCCTTTGAGTTAGGGTTTACCACCTTAGCAATCGGCTGTGCTTAAGGCAATGAGAGACTAAGCGCGGAGAGGAGAGTATGAGGCGAGAGAGCGCAACAGATGAGAGGGCGCCAGACAACAGCCTGATAAAAGAAAAAAATTGCAGCTGCAGCAGCTTACTTTGCAAGGCCCTAGCGCTCTTGTCGGTGATTTCCGTGCACGGGAACGCCACACCTGTGATTGTCCTCTAGGTAGTGGCAAGCGTTCTAACGTGTATGTTTAAAAACCCTAACTCAGCACTAATTCGCCTTACTTCAAGCAGGTTAGACCTGGGTTAGAGGTCATGGCGTCAGAACATATTAGCGTCCTTTTGAGCCCCGTCAAAACCGACCCCTACACAAACAAACCTGCTCTTTGCGCAATTTGAGCACAGCTTCGGGGATAAAAGCAGTGTGCAAACGAGCTCTTATGAAATCTTAGAGGGGCCAGTTATGAAAAAGGAACAAGAAAGCAAAGAAACCGATGTAGACGCCCTAAAATTGGAACTTCTCTTCTTTTCGCACTCCACCTGGAAATAAAAAGAAGGCGTAATGGACAGTTTCGCCCTGAACAGCTCGCATTTGCCTAGTGCCTATAGCATTGCGCGTAGTGGCAACCGCTGGCCTGAGTGCGCCCACGCTCTGCCAACTGACGTCGGAAGGAGGGGCTTGCAACAAAGGTGTGAGTTGCGGGTCGGACGAGCTCCTTGCGCCTTTGTCGCGCACTTTCAAGCCGCAAAAGGGCGCGACATCAACGCTTGTCCGCCTGTCTACTGCCCCGGGAATGGAACAGGTGAGCGCGCCTAATCCCGGAGCGTGCCTCTAAACAAATTGCCAAAATCATGACACGACGCGTGGATTATAACTGCATCTCGTACACCCCAAAAGGACCGTGCATTTAAGGCAAACTCCAATAAGCCCAATCAGTAGGAAGGATGAGGTTGTGCGGTCCGTGCCTATATGAATTATTTCAGCTTAGTCGCACAAATTGCGCGACTACGGCATTGATCCTTACGGACCTGCAACCACCGACTCCCATTGCAACGGGTACCCCCAGGAGGCCCGTCGCGCGGCAAGAAGGCAGAGTCGGCGGACGAGTTGCAGCGCGTGATGTGCGATGTAGGACGTGCAAGTGGGACACTCTATTTAACTTGACGCGAAATCCCTATAGTGCGCGCGACTCGTCCGCTGACTTTGCCTTCTTGCCGCGCGACGGGCCTGGGGGTACCCCCGTTGCAACGCTCACCACCCTCTTATCGGCTCGTCCTTCAACCGATAGCTACAAGGTGTTGCCCTGCATTGGAAGGACGGAAAGCCAATGAGCAACAAGCAGGAGTTGAGTGGATTTATTATAATTACCATTTCCGGATCTTCGTCCATCATCTGGTCGTATTCCGAAATTGCGATACAGAAGAAGATAGCACTGATACCATCGTACATTGTCGCCCATTTCCGACGATCAATTCTTTGGCCACCAAT